CAGACGTGTGCTCTTCCGATCTCCCCAAAACCCCAAAACCCCGTGATTTCGAAATTGGAATTATATATGGTGAAATAGCATTAATTAATAGATAAAAAGCTTGAGATTATTAATTTTAATATCACGACCCAATGTACAATCAATATAACTATCAGTCTCTTCCGGTGAGCTCCTTCTCCTATGTCCCGAATTATGCATAAAGTTAGAATTAAACTTAGTATTTTACGGGTTAACAAGTAATGGTACCATAATTCAGCAACAATAACTTTCAGGCACCCTCTCATCTTGGATTTAATTTCTAATAACCACTTCTTCAATCGGTGATTAATTACAATATGCCAGGAAATTTGTCGACTTTACCACCAAAACTATAACCGAACTACTATCCATTAATTTAAGCAAAGCAATTACCCTTAAACTAGTTTTAACCGAAAATAATATTCCATTAGACTCAAAGTTAATCTAAAATTGAGGATAATCGACTTAATGATACATAGTTTATCATGGGATAAAGCAGCGTCGCTTGCACCTAAAATAATATGACAAGTTTGAGCTGTATGAAAGACATATCTATTAATGAAAAATAAAAAGATGAGAAAAACAATTTTGTTGATATATCAGCAAACAACAGTACTCTATCCAGTGACGATACAGTAGAGTCAAACATAAAAAAGAGGCTAGGGTTGTCACTAACTTGCCAAATCATATTTGAAGATGGTCATGATGTTGACTTAGCTTAACTTCAAAATCTTCACATTCCTTCGATAAAAACGTTCAAATATGTGAAATTCTATAAAGAACACAGTAAAAGGTGGATTTAAATATTTCTGTGCGAATTCTAAAACTGTCAGAAGTCCTTTAAGAAATGGCACAATCTCTTCGATCATTTAAGATCTCATACTCAAGAGAAGCCCTTCATTTGCCCAGTTGATGGTTGCAGCTAGCCATTTACCTAGAGAAGTAACCTCAACAAACATATGAAAATTCATAAAAATAAATGCTACCTTAAATGTTCGGAATGCAAAAAGTTCTTCACGAAATCAAAACTTATGACACATTTCCTTGGTCATCAAGGTATTTGTGAGGAAGAGAGCTGTGGATTAGATGAAGATGATTACACCATAAATCGACTTGAAATAGAATAGAATATATAAGTTAAGTTAAATGAGGGATCTCAATCGAATCAAGAATAGTAATAAAATTGAACGAATGTTTTTTATAATCAATCATATATCCTATAATACTCTATCACAAATTAATTTAATTCGAAATTTTCATTTAATTCACTTCTCATTTATTTCTGATGAAATCCTATTATTAGTAATACGGGGTTTTGGGGTTTTGGGGTTTTGGGG